TATGAATCTTAAAAATGTTTTAAACTTAAAACTTCACCTTCTAGTTGCTAACTGTCCTGAGTACTCACAGAAGGGAAATTTCTTTGCAGAACGTAGCAGATATTAAAAAGCTGAAGGCAGTTGGGATTTGCACAGTTAAAGGCATCCAGATGACCACAAGACGGGCACTGTGCAATGTGAAGGGGCTCTCAGAGGCCAAAGTGGACAAGATCAAAGAAGCTGCAAACAAGCTTGTTGTAAGCCAGTCACTTTCCTGAGAGTTTGAACTTATGCTAACCTCTCCAAAATGCTGTGCAACATTTCTCTTAGCAGATTTCCTACTGCATTGTCAAAATAATTTTGAAAATTATTCTGCCTGTTACTCTAAGGCATAATACTTTATACTCTACAACAACCAGACCAGTGCTGTGGTGCTTTACCCAAACAACTGGAATGAGTCTAGGGGAAAAGAAGATATTTATGTGGGATATTGCACTTTTAACTTCAGTTTAAAGCTAAAATAAACCTCTCACATTCTCTTTGGTCTTCCCCAGGAACCAGGCTTCCTCACCGCCTTTGAATACAGTGAAAAACGGAAGATGGTATTTCATATTTCCACTGGCAGCCAGGAATTTGAGTAAGCATATCTCTTATATCCTTCCTTCATCCAAATGTTCCAAATAATCATCTTAATTGTCTTTAATAAGACACAGAAATATAAGGGAATAAATGCTTAGCTAGGACACATAGATCCCCTTGCACTTGGAGTTAGTGCTGGCTTAAAGAAGCCTACATTCAATAAGCACCAAAACCAACTCCTTTTCTGAGGGGAAACTGGACTTTGTACAGTTACTGTAAATAAATAGTTGGCATCCAGAAATCTTGAAAGTATAATTTTTTCACCTATCAAAATAATCTGCAGGTTTCAAGTCAAAATTACAGGTCTTCAAGTCCTCCCTTGAGATATTTTTATAGAATGTTATTTTCAAATATTATTTTTAATGTTATTTTCTTTCCTTTCTTTCCAGTAATAATTTCTATAGATCTTTCCCTTGCACACAAAAAGGGAGGTAAAGACAGAGTTAATTCTTTATGAATCAGTGATCATTTAGTGCCCTGCACTTAATGCATCAAGTGAATTGCTTTAGGGTGGAAATTACTTTCCTTAAAGTAGTAAAAATATCTCTTTTTTACTTTCCTCTTATGATTTTTTGGTTTTAACTATATCATAATCCTCTCCCTGTCTGCAGTAAACTTCTGGGTGGTGGGATTGAAAGCATGGCAATCACTGAGGCCTTTGGAGGTGAGAGAACATTAAAGCATTACCAAACAAAGAACTGCAGCTTAATTTAGATTTTAATTCAATTTGGATTACTTCTATCAAATTTGCCACATTGTAGTTACAAAGATGAGTGTCTGCATGAGTGCAGGAAAAAATAATCCACTTCCCTTAATGTTTTCCCATATTTCCTCTTCATTTGCTTGCGGACTAAATTTGAGCTGTGTAATCATTACTGGGCATGCTGATTCAGTGCAACATAGCATTATTAAGACTATTATTAACATGCCAAAGTTCTCCCTGATGCAGTGTGCTCCTTTCCACTAACAAAATTGTCACAGAAGGTATCTTAGTCATGCACGCTTAAGGGACATTGCATTTTATGTAAGATTTTGAAATTACAATTAAGCTACTATTACAGTACACCTAATTAGTTGGTGCTTGACACTTCAGCAATAAGAATTTCTTCCCTTTAGAAAAGATAAACTGGAAACTAATGTGATTTGATAGAATGAGATTAATAAACTTGTAAGCTTCTCCTTGATCATTTTACTGGAAATGAAACTGGGCTGGGTTAATGGAATCAACCATTTCTTCTCCACCCCGCCCCCCTGTTATCACTTTTCCACAGGTGCCATGTGGTTTTAACTTCTATACACAAGAGAAGAAATTAATTCAGCAGTCAAGTATGATCAAATTAAAGCATTTCAGATTTTGCTTCTCATGTAACACATTTCTCCTACACAGAATATGATTTAGAAATTGAGGTTAAATGATTTTAAAAGCTAGAGATCGAGGTGAATTTTCTAAGAGTTTCTAACTGCAGTAATCCCTGAATCTGTCAAACCTGAAAAAAGAAACGCTGACTCTTTTTTTCCCTTTATTTAACAGAGTTCCGGACAGGCAAAACTCAGCTATCTCACACTCTTTGTGGTAGGTATAATACCTTAAAAGAGAGTGATGTTTCTTCTCAGTGAATCTGTTGTTTACAACTATATCAGAATTAAACACGTAGAGATAAGTCAGAATCTTTATTTCTAGATATACAGTGAAATAGACCTTGGTGACTCTTACCTCCAGAAACTGTGTTTGAGTAGAGAACTCATATAAATCGTTACTTTTTAATAATGCTCACATCCATGAAAGTTTTGCCATAAGGAGAGTGAAGATAATAGGCTGTCTTAGATAAACCAGTGAAAGACACCATCTGGAAAAGCAGAGCACACGTATGGGTCACATGTAGAGGGGACATTGCTCAGAAAAGGGCAGAGGCAACATTTTTTTCTCAGCAACTCTTTGCCTGTCCTGGTTTCAAGAGGTTTTGCTGAATATGCCATTCTGAAAGGACACTGAAAGGGTACTGCTGGCTGTCAGTGACTGGATAAACAGATTTTGGGCGGTGCAAAAAACAGCAGGACTCTGATTTCCCAGAGATATTTCTCAATGTGTAAAGAGTAGTAAACAATAACTTACATAACTGCTAATGCTGCTGGAATTACCAAAGGGTACTGGGTAGGGAAATTCTCTTAAATGAACCCCCTGTATTGCAAAGTGAAATATGGAATCTTCTGGAAAAATAGGGCCTCTTCTGGTTAGTACAGTGTAATGGTCAGCAGAGTCATACCCTTTTGCATGAATGATTACAACTGGACTGAGTATTTTCGCTTATTCACTCCAAAGAGCCTAAACCCACAATCAGCAACAATTTGCATATCAGGAAAAATTCATATCCAAAGAATTTTTGATCATATGAGTTACAGCTGGAAAAAGCGCCTATCTAAGCCAATAGAATTAATTTGGGCCGAGGATTAAGAGGAGGCTTTGTGTGTAAGAATTTACTAATAACATCCCTAAAATATACAGTTTTAGATGGTGCTGAGTAAAACAGTTTTGACACTAACTAAATCTCATCTGATCAGCAATCAAGAAAGGCAGCTTGAGCTCCTTCTTAAGATGGCAGTAAGACAAGATACTCCTGATTTTCATATTGATTAAAACTGACAGTTCTTTGTGATATGGATAAACAGTTGTATTTTATCTAAAAAATAATAATAGATGGAGTAAGAAAATATTTGTCCTGCTTTTTCATTTTAATCTTCTATGATTCTCTGTAGTGACAGCACAGCTCCCAGGACCAAATGGCTACACAGGTGGAAAGATTATCTTCATTGATACTGAAAATACTTTGTATCTTTTTGACTGTTAAAAGCTGCAGGTGTGATGAACTGGAAAGTTGGTTAATTTTGTTATAAGGAAGTAAAAGGCTCTGGATAGCTTCATACTTGTAAAATATTATGACTGGTATAGAAATCCTGGAGAGCAGAGTGTGTAGTGGCCCACAGGGAAGTGAGTTTTTCTTCTGTCATTTGATGTAATCCAACCTGGAAAAATTAGTTAGGAACTGGATTTTAACTGTTTTTTGTTTTGTTTGTTTGTTTGTTTGTTTGTTTTTGGAGTTTTTGGGTTTTTTTGAGATCTAGTAGGCCTCCTACAGGTTATAGCAGCTTTTCTATTCAAGATAAATTTATCTAAGTACTAAACACTATTTTTAACACTTCACATTTTCAGTAGACTGTGTATAAACAGGTTTTGCTCACAGCTAAATTCCTAGAGTACAGATATCCATATGTCAACCGCCCTGCCTCAAACCCTAAACACAAAACAATTATCATCGTGAGCCCTAAACTATCTTTAGGGTACGTGGGACAGCCTGAAGACAAAAAGTCAGTCTTCTCTAGGACTAAAATAAATATTTTTCTTTTTTTTTTCTCCCCATAGTCCTATTTTAGAATGGAGTTTTATTATTTTCAGAGCATGGTTTGCACAAGGAGAAATCCTTAACTCTGACTAATGCCAGCCGACCAGACCGCCTGCGTGACATTGCTGATCGCTTCAATGTTGACCACGAGGCAGTACTTGACAATGTGCTGTATGCACGTGCATATACCAGTAAGACCATTATTGCCACTGGCATGATATCTAGGTTTTTTTCCCTCAGGTACCCATTTTAATAGTTCTCAGTTTATTAACACTTATCAGTTTATTAACAGTTCAACACACTCTGTGTCACAAGACACTGCTTTAAAACATCAAGAAATTTTGAAATAGGATTTCTTTAAGAATGCAATATAAACATAAATTATTAAAACATTTTGTGTGTGTCATTTAATTCAACATTAAATTAAAATGTATACATTGCTTTTCAGTTCTTAATACAACAAAGAGTTGTCTTCATGCAGAGTGAAGATTTTTGCAAAGAAGTGTTATGAGATGGGTGAGAAGAAACTGGAACCTGCAAAGTAGATTGTTACTGGGGACTGGATTTAAAACTGCTGGCAATGAAAATATAACCAGTGTAGACATTTAAAGTGGAATTTTAAAGTTTAGGCTTTTGTTCCTTCAGAGATCTTTCTGATCTTAATTTGTCTTGGCAACTCTGCTTCCCACTAGGTGAACATCAGATGGAATTGCTTGACTATGTAGCAGCCAAGTTCCATGAGGAAGCTGGTATCTTCAAGTTATTGGTACAAGACTTTTTTTTTCTGTATGCTTACTGTTTTGAATAAGTGTTCCTGTTTTCTTTCACTACATTTACTTATCTAGCACGATTACAATGCAGATCATTGACTCCATAATGGCACTTTTCCGTGTGGATTTCAGTGGTCGCGGAGAGTTGGCCGAACGACAGCAGAAACTGGCTCAGATGTTGTCAAGGCTCCAAAAAATATCAGAAGGTACGGGAAACATTGCAAGATTTGTAAAACATGGGCTGGAGCCACTACCAGTAGCTGCTGGTAGCACAACCACCCAGTAGTCCAAGTGTACTATCAGGGATCTTTCCTCACTTTACACATCTGTCAAAATGATCAAACTGGTAATATATTAGTTCAAGATGACAGATTGAAAAAACTTCTGGACTTTCCAGCATTTAGAGTTTTTCTATAAATACTGTCAAGCCCTAAATGAGATAAAAGGTTGTGGAACTGGACAGATATTCAGTAAGGCTAATTGTCTTCCCCAAATTTCAACAGTCTAAATACAAAAGAAAGAGAAAAGAGGATGAGGGCATAGAGAAATAAAAAAGCCTTGCCTCTTGCTACTTTCTCAGTACTTTGCAATGCTTTGAGGGATGATGACACGATGAATAGAGTTCCTTCTCTTTGGAATGTCTCAGAAATGTTGATGAGGAATGAATAAATGCTTTTTTCGTGAAGTAGCAAAAAAAAAAAGGCAAACAGAGAAAAGGAAGGAAAGGGAGCTTAGGGCAGGGAGCCAACAGAGAATCGATGGGAACTGAGAAAGACTTGTTCACTGGAATTCTGAAAAGTGCTCATTTTTGGTGTATTACAGCTGAAGCCAGGCAGGAGCAAATCTAGGCTGTGTCCTGATTAACTGCAGCCATCAGTCATAAAGAATATTTTTTTCTTTCCAAATTTCCAAATTCATTCAGCAGAAACCTTATTTTTACCATAGATGAGAGAATACTTTGGAATTCTAATTGGATGAAGTCTACCTTCTTTGCAATGTTTTCCCTTGCAGAATATAATGTGGCCGTGTTTGTGACCAACCAGATGACTGCTGACCCAGGAGCAACTATGACGTAACATATTTTCTCTTTTAAAAAAACTTCCTGTATTTTACAGAAATGAGAACTGAGATTGTAAGGAGCTAGAGGCACTGAAATGAAAGCTCAGATTGGTCATTGTTCCCTGTGGTATTAGGAATCATAAGTAAATGACATCTGGAAGTTTCAGTTTTTAGAATGAGCTTTTTTATGTTTTATGTTTTTATGTTTTATGTTTATCTGCTGCCTGGTGTGATGGTGTGATTTCACTATGACTTAAACAAAGAAAATGAGCTATAAAAAATATTGAAAATGCACCACGTTTTCCTTTGGAGCAGCTTGTATGTGATATTAAGGATATTTCTTGAGCCTCTTGAATTTAATGAGAGGTAAATGATGCATTGAACATTGGAACATATTATCTTGAGACAAGTGTGCTAAAGTCAGGTTTCTAATGTATTTCCCTATTGATTATTTATTGCTGAGTTGAATAGGGCTCAGCCTGACAGTTAATTACAGTATTAACCTCTGGAATTTGCACGGTGAATCACCACAATTTTCTTGCTAATTCAGCTTTCAGGCAGACCCAAAAAAGCCCATCGGGGGCCACATCCTTGCTCATGCTTCAACTACCAGGATCAGTTTGAGGAAAGGGAGAGGGGAGCTGCGTATTGCAAAGATCTACGACAGGTAAACCACCTTTCCCTCACAGGAGGAAAGGTGACAAAGTCCAAGGTATTGAAACTTTTCGGATGATACACTGGGAGAAGATCTGAAAGGACAAACTAATTAACAGATTGAACAACTAATTAAAGTTGTCTTGCACGTTGCATACCTTAAATAACATAATCTTTCATCATAAATCCTACTAGATGCTCAGCTCTTAATGAAGACCATCAAATATTTTGGTAGGACTGGTGGTCCATTGGCAGGAAAATTCTGGACATGTTAAATTCCTAAGTTTTCCTGACACGATAATTTCACATTTTCTGATCCTGATGATATTGATCACGTTCTACAGTTTGCACATAGGTATAAAGGCACTGATGTATTCCAGGTTGCTCACACCCACAACATTTTGGAGACTATTTCCATGCATTTTACATGGAGAAACCCACAAGTTTCTTGTTTCTTTTTCTCCCAGCCCTGAGATGCCTGAAAATGAAGCCACATTTGCAATAACCACTGGAGGGATTGGGGATGCCAAAGAATAGGTAAAAAAATGATGTAAATGTACAGCTAAAAAACAGCTGGGTAGTTGGGATGAAGATTTGTGAAAGGTCGGCAACTACCTGGCTGCATTTGTAGCTTTTGGGAGCTATTTAAGATATTTTGGGAGAACACTGGGATGAACTTTGTACAGTTCAGTTTTACTGAATGAGAATTTGGTTCATTTAGGATTTTTGTTTTTCAATTGACCTTTTAGCACACAAAGATTTAACCAATTTGATTGTGAATTGTTCTTAGAATCCTTTTCCTCTGTTTTGTGAAAATCAAGGTCCTTTCACATGGGAGTGAATATACTCTTTCTTAATTTATTTCAAAGAGAGTGTCTAAGTGGTAGAATTTAACAGTGTGAAATGCAACAGAACTGGAATAAACTCTGTTATAAAATCGACATATATAGATGGAAAAGGCAGTGGGAGGAACAACAGCTCAAGAGCTTGACAGATTTTCATGTACTGTAGAGGAACAAGTAGTTTTAAGAATATGTTTTTAAACATTTTTATCTTGACTAGATAATGTTTATGTTTTTATTTAGCATTTTCTACTTTTTGGACAGAATGTTTTAAACCTGTTCTTATTAAAGTTAAAAAAACAGACTATGAATTAGAACAGAAGTCTGATTATGTTTGGGTGCTTTGAATTAAACTCTCCTCTCAAAAATCTCATTGATCTTTCATGAGAAAAATAATCTGGGCACAACACAACACCTTAAAACCTTTTTTCTAGTTCTCTAAAGAAACAAACTTGACATAATTGGCTTGCCAGTCTTCTAGCATAAGTAAGAATATTAGTGATTACTATTAAGTAATATTAAATATTGTTTCTATTAAAAAGAACAAAATATATCCAGATAGGAGAGAGAGAGGCTGGCACCAGCACTTACACCAAGGAAAAGGACCTTAGGATTCAGCTTGCTGAGCAACCCAGCCAGCACAGGCACAGCTCTGAACTAGCCAGAGATGTAGGTCACAGGAGGCAAAAGAAGAAGCTGGGAATAAAGAGGAAAAGAGGGCATTGGGAGCCAAAATAACAGCTCCTTTTGCAGTATCTCCAAAGCTCATGGAATTGCTTGTTTTAAAATAAATTGAATGATACATACATACATACACAAACATGGATATAATGGGGAAATCTTTGTCCTCTGGTAATTACAATGAGTCTAATTTTGGGATCTGGTCAAAGAACTTGTCCTCACTGGCAAAATAACTTTTTCCGTTTAGATTATCAAATGCATATACGATAACATCAAGTTAAAAGGCAGCAATGACCACAAATTCATGGAAGTCTGACATGTTAGCCAGGCTTTTCCTTGGGCCAGACCTAGAGAGTTTGCCTTCCTTAAGTGGTTTCTTAACAGATTCTATTTTTCCCTAAGGTCAAGTACTATTTTTCACAGTGGAGAAAAGTCTAGAGAGTGGAAGGGTGGGAGGCTGGCTGATGTGAGAGAGCAGGAATGGATCAACCATTGTCATTTAATTCAATGTGCATTTGCATGTGCCAGGTTTTCCCACACGAGGCATTTGTGTCCAGCGGCCAAGTACCCGGTGTGAGAGTTTGCAGTGTCACTTGACTCCCTGCCACCCACTTAAAAAGGCCCAGCTTTCTTCCAGTATTTTATTTTTAGCACTCAGATTGCTTTTTCCTTTCTGACACGTCATACATACATGCATACATACATATATATATATATATATATATATATATATAAACTAGCATGTGAAACTAAAATGGTAATTCGTGTTTCGTTTTAGGCTGTTATTTTTATGCAAGGGTCTGAAAGCAAAGGGGACTCGCTTTCCCTTCTGCCAGTATAACCAGTTTTTGATAACCTGACAGCCCAGAAAGCACTGCTGATAGCGGTAACACGGTGTGGCCCGGACCTGGGTTTGGCTGGTGTAACCCCACCACCTATGGGACACGGCTCCTTGTGCCACGACACACGGACTTGGCGACAGCACACACACAGAGCACAAAAGCATTTATGGTCTGTGCCACGTAATCTACTCCTGGATTATTCTGCCTTTCTGCGAGGAGTCTGGCTCATGTGGGGAATTCTCTCCCGGCCTCCCCGCGCTCAGGCGACTGCAAACATCATGGCCGCTGTCACTCTGCTCCTGCCCCAGCGCCCCGGCAAGATGCCCTTACTAATCTGACAAGGAATAACCTCGGCCCGTCCGAGCCGCCACAGAAGTCCAAAGGGCCGCTCCCGCCCCGTCGCCCAGTGTCCCGTTATTGTTCCGCCATTTCCCATATTGCTCCGTCCCATCATTGCGTCCTCAACGCCGCCGCCACCTCGGCAGAGCCCGTGGGCGCGTAAGCCACGGGACCTATTCTTCAAACCCTCTGCGAAACCAGCGTAACGCTCCGGCCCGGCCTGCACGGTCCGCGTAAGAATTGTTAAGCCAAGCGCACCAGGCTCTTCCCGCCCTACGCCAGCCTGAGTTACGCACCTTGCGTACGCCTTGCGCTTACGTAACGTGCGCCTCAGCCCGGGTGTTCCCTGCCCTGCAGAAGGGGTTACGGAGCGCGCTCCTTGCGCAACTGACTTTGAGGAATAGCGTTACTCCTCCCCTCCGCCTTTCTCACGCGGGGCCCCGGCCCTAAGTAAAGAACGTTACGCACTTTCGTAGCCCGCCTGCTACTGCGCGGGGCGGTGTTTCGCCAAGCGCGCTTAGGGCGCTAAGCGTAGTTTGGTTCCGTGAATAGGCGTAGGTGTTTCGGAGGGCCGTAGTTTGCGCAGCGCCGGGCCCCCCGTAACGTAAGCGGAGCGGGCCGGGGCGACGGCGGCCATTTTGTGCCGGGAGCGCGGAGGAAGAAGACGCTGGTGTCTCCACACTACCCGGGCCCTGGAGCCGACCGAGAGCCCCGCCGTTCCGGCCGCTGACGCCCAGCGGGTCTCGGACCCACTGAGCACCTCTTCTCCTTTTGTGTCCCAGCAAAGAGGCGAGGTGGCGCAAAGCGAGGCCTCCGAGGCGCAGCCGCCCCTGGCTGGACCCTCTCCCCGTACCCCCAGTCCCTCGCCGTCCCCACGGCCGGCGTTCCGCTGCCTCTCACCCACCCCTCCGGGGGCGATGAGAGGCTTCGGGGACCGGGGCCGCGACCGAGACCGCGGCGGGTAAGGGCGGGGGGGATCGGGGGAGCGGTGGGGGAAACCGAATGCTTGCGTTGGGGGCGGCGGGGGAGGCCGCGGGGTTGTGGGTATGTGTTGGAGTGGCGGCATCGGGGGAGCCAAAATCCCGTTTGTGGAGATTTTGCCCCCCATAGATTCTCGTGTGGGGGCGGGGGTAGTTGGAGACTTACCTGTCCCAAAGGCGGGGTGGTGGGTTTTGAGAGTTTTGTGGTTTTTAATATATATTTTTTATTGTTATTATTTACTTAGGTTTTCTACCGTTCATGTGTAATTAATTCTCAGCCTTACTTGCAATTTTAAGGCCTTATCCACCCTGCCCCCTTAATTATTTTCTGCCAGTCCCCTTATTTACCCCGCGAGACCCGTGGCACCCTGTCCCCCGAAAGCCACGAAGGTCTTGGTGGTCCTGGCAGGGCTGGTTGTCCTTCTGTCTGCCCTTCTGGTTGTCATTGCTCCTTCTGGACTTACTGGGAAGATGGCATTGGGGGAAAGATCTGTCTCAGCTGCACTCCCAGGATTACCGTGATAGGAAATGGGCTTGGAAACGCTGCCGTGCGGGGGGTTTGGGCACTCCGGGGGGTGATCTCTGTGAACCAGGGTGCTGGACGCTTGCCAAGCTTACATAGCGCTACAGAAATTGTGTGGTTCTGTGAAGGCCTAGTGCTTGATGCTCTTGAATCTTGTTTAAAGAAGGTTTAGCTTGCAAAAGGCTTTTGCAGGTTTGATTTGATGTGATTTTTTTTTCTTTCGAGAATGACAGCAATAGATACAGTGGCGTTATACTACATAACTAGATTGAGTCTCGAGGTTTTTAAGGGTTGAAAGTAACAAGGCATTTGTGCTAGGCCTTTTTAAAGAGAAAGTTAGAACTAATTTCTGAGGGTGGCATTCTAAGATCATGATTAGTTCTCAAGGATTAACAAAAGACATATAATGTGGGTTCTGCTGTATGATAAGCTAGATCTCAATTAAAAAGTGTTCTCTCCATTTTTTTTCCTTTTTTTTTCTCCCCCACTTCTTTTTCCTCTTGTTTTCCCTTGCCACTGGGAGATGAAAGAATATTTTGCTATACATTGCAATGCACTTTGACATTCAGTTTCTCATCTGTGGAGGGAGATAGTTGTATCATTGCTTTATCTTACACCCACATTTAACATTCTGAAATTAAAAGATACTTTCATTTTTTTTTTTTTTTCACAGAGAGGAGGGTTCTGGTGTTTTTCTGCTAAGAGATTTCCAGCTCAGTTTAACACAAGGACATTGGAGTAAGAGCTTTGGCGAGTCTGAGATAGATTAGACCACAGCTGGTTTTGAAGTTTAGTGAGTGAGTTTGAGTACACGGATTTATATACAGTTACTTAAAAGAACACTGGCCAAAGCATTGACACAACACTTGATGTGCCTTAAAATTAGTGTAATTTCATTTTTGGTAGAGTCTTTAATTATAGTGGATGCTTCTCTTTTAGGTAGGGGTTTTGCATGACTAAAAGAAGTACCTATATGCTTCTTTGTGAAGTTTGTGGACATTTGCATGATTTTTTTTTTTTTTTTCATATTATCCTGGAAGCTTTAATGCATTAGGATTCCATTTGTTATATACATCCTTTTAAGGTGTGAAAATACTTGTAACCACTTACAACTGTCTTACTTCATAAATAACTTGTATAAAATGTTGGGCCACCCAGTGTGCTGATCCAGCACCATTTGAATGTTTATCAACACTTCTTTTGTAGTCTAATCACATACAAAGTTTCTAATTCTCTTTTGTCAGGATTGAGCTCCGGGTGACTTCTTAGGATGGAAAATTGTTATGTTTTGCTCTGGAACGTATCAGATTTACTCAGTTCTGTCCCAGAAGTGATAGCACTGGTAATATTAGGGAAGAATGTTTTGAGCCAGCCTGAATTTACCTTTGAAACTAGAGCTGTTGGCAGACCATGGAAATACTAGATTTAAGTCAGTTTAATTGGAGTTGGAATCTCATTTTACTTGGAGTCAGAATGTGAAGTGTCAGTTACTGCCAGTTTAGCAAATAAACCTCCACAGAGGCAGCATTCAAGGGCTCCTGTAGGGCTCTTTCCTTTCAGGTCAGTATCCAGGCATATTGTGTGTAAGAGTGGAGAACTGAAACTCCTTGTTCTGCTGAACTTGGAGAACTTCTCTCCTATGTGCCTTCTATGTAGAATATATAATTTTTTCCCTCTGGATAGCTGTGGAGGAGCAAGTATTCCTAGTATTCCCAGCTGTTGCAGTGTTCAGTCTTGCAAGCAGTCCTGTCATATGTTTCCTTTTCTAAGGGAGCTCATTGACCCTTTGAACCTCCGGTGGACTTGAGTGAGGTTATGGGTTTTGTAGGAACTGATTGGGTACTGAAATTGTTGATGTTTTGACCTCAGTTTGACATGATTGATAACAAAAAATCATCACTAAAGGTGAATGTCCCTGTAAATGAAAGTCTGTGCCTTCTTTTTTTCCTTTGTCCTGAAAGGAAACATAATACTTAAATTCATTTTTGAAGTTGTGTTTCACAGTCTTTTTCATGTGAAGAGAACTTGATGACTGTGCACACTGTCTGGGAGATCTGATAGACACACAGATGAGAAAATAAAAGATATTTATGGGAAAGAGAAGAAGCCTAATGCATAGTCGCAACACAGCAGACATTTTAAACTAATGTAGCAGATTTTAAGTTAAATTATATCTACCATACTTGATTTCAGTTCTTTTTCTTTGGTCTTTTAGTCACTAATTTATAGTTTCCGTTGGAAGTGATTTAAAGAGCAAATGTATTTAATGTTTGAGCAGGTAGTCTTGTACTTAAGATAATTCAGATTTTTATTTCAGCTCTTGTTTACTTTTGGTGACTCTTCCACCCGCTCTTTCATCCACAATTTGCTTGTGTAAGAGTGTTTCTTTGAGATTCTTGTTGCTTTCCATTTATTTCATTACCAGTTTTTTATTTGCTAGTGGATTACCTGGGTATGGTGCAGACACTTTGGTTTTGCTGTCTAAAAGTTGTTTGAAATGGGCATGTCTCATGAATTCATATTTTGCATAAAGCTGTACCTTTAGGACAAAAATGGGCTTGATAGCGTTTTGAAAAGGTCTTTCTGCTGAGTTTGTACAACACTAATGAAAGTGCTGTAACTTTTTTTTTTAATGTGTTATTTTAAAATACAACCCATGATATTTACAGTAAATAATCATTTAATGCCGCTTGTTTTTAGTTACTCTCACAGCTACTGCCAGAAGCTCATGTTTTGGCTCTTGCATTAGCCAGTCATTGCAGTTAGTTCTTAACCTTCTGAAGTGCATATAATTAACTGGATAAAGAAAACTTAGAGAGAAAGAGCAAGAAATAACTTTTGAATTGTTCTGATAGAATTTTTTTTGTGAGCTTGAACTTTTTACTCTCTTCAGTCTTCATCACAGTGCATTTGAGAGACGATATGTTTTTTCCCAGGTATATTTTTGTTTTGTTTTTTTTTTTCCTGTTAGGCTGCCTTTTAAAAACAAGGGTTTTTTTCAGTTTTGTTGATAACAGAATTACAGATGGACTTGCAGGCTTGGCTGGACTTGTTTACTTTCTGTTCTTCAGGCTGCTGTTTTTCATTTGAAGCATACTTCTTGATAAGAAGGGAGAGAAGAGGGCGAGATAGTGAAATAGCTGTTTAGTGTAAAACTAACCTTGAGAGACAGAGAAGGAACTTACAAGGAGAGATTTTTCTCATCCCTTTTATGTAACTGTGTTGTACATGCACTATCAGTTTCAAGACAAATGCTATATGTGTACACTCAGCCATGTCCTAGAGACAGGAGCTTCAAAGGGGTGATTTAAAATAACATGGTTTTATGTTCAGAAACAACCCAAAGCAGGTTTATGTTATTTCAAGAAGTTTTATACCATCATAGTGGTTGGAGGGAGGTGACTTGCTAGAATGTTGTGCTCATATGTCAGCTTGGGGAAAACACAATAGAAAATGGTTAAGAAATGTCCAGAGTAGTTCTAGAATAGTTTTTAAGTAGTGGTAGTATTTTTTTAATTAACTAACATTCACATTCACAGGTTTGGAGCAAGTCGTGGAGGTCCTCTTCCTCCAAAGAAATTTGGTAATCCAGGGGAACGTTTACGTAAGAAAAAATGGGATTTAAGTGAACTGCCCAAGTTTGAGAAGAATTTTTATGTGGAACATCCGGAAGTGGCCAGGCTTACTCCAGTAAGTGCTGTGTTGTCTGCAACAGAAAATGTCATAAGTTGAAAAACTTGTCCTAGGAAGTCTGGGACAGCATGTAAAATAGAGCTGACTCTTCATTAAGCTTGTTTGGCGTGTGTACTCTGCTGAATACTGGTTCTAGTTGCATTTACTATTTAACATTAGCAAAGGATATGCTTCTAGCCTTGGTTGTTTTTATATGAGATACTGTAATTTGTAATGCATCTTCATAATGTTTGTCTGGTCCAGCAATTTGTCAGTGGAGATAAAACTTAGAGAGTAACAGTACTGGAGAAGCACTGGAAAAACCTAAGATAATGAACTAAAAGTGACAGAAATACATGAGAAAGGTTTTATATTTTGTCATAAGAGTAATTTGGGCTGAAAGAGGCCTTGGGGGACACCTCTAGTCCAATCCTCTGCTTAGAGCAGCACTAATGGTAGAAATAGAGCAGGTTGCTTAGTGCCTTGTCCTTTTTAGTTTGAATATCCCCAGAGATGAGGAGAATTTAAATCCTCTCTGGGTGGCTGTCTCAGGGCTTAATGTTTCTCATGGGATTTTGAAGATCTTTCCTATAGTGACCCAACAAGTAGTTGAAAGTAGCAGTTAAAGGTCACTGTTAGCCCAGTCTTTCCCGAGCTAAAGAAATCCAGTGCTCCTAGTATGTCTTCATATGGCCTGTACTGCAGCCTCCAGCTTTCCCCCATAATTGGTCATGCCCTGTTAAAACAATGTCCTTCTCACATAGGGGGTTCAAAACCAGGTGCTCTGTGTTTACTCTGTAGATACAGTAGTCTTCCTTTCCTACCAAACTTGAGTCTAGTCTTCTATTCTCTCTTGCAGTGTATTCTTAATAATTAGAAATTAAGATATTTTGTTCTTAACATGAGGCAACAAACAAAATGTCATTATCTGATCGCATAGACTTAGAAATCCTTATATGAAATGTGCTTATGGCATAAAGGAATTGAAGGGGGTATTGACTTCTTAAAGATACCACAACTTGAGCTACTGAACTGTGGTTTTCATGAGCTGCCATAGCTGCCTTTGGCTTAGCCAGCTAAAAGGATTTTCATGTTTTCCACAGAAGTAATTTTCTTTTTTTACCTTCTAATTCAAGCTCAGGGGATTCTCAGAAATACTGAATATATTGCTTTGGATGAAGTTTATATTTGGTATTGATATGTCTCTATTGATTTCTACTAAGTATTACAGTAAGGTCAGGAATTGTCCAAGCATGTTGAAAAAGGCAGTTGGACTTGCAAGATAACCTAGACAAAAATAAAACACTTTTTCTAATCCTGAAATTGTGCTTATGTGACTACACATTTCAGAAATATTGCAAGCAGTTCCTTAAAAAAATTGTGAGGTCCTAGGGTATCATTATGATGTTGTCAGAGCTTCTTCCATTCTCTGAAACAATTCCAAGCAACATTTGAGTTGCAAGTTATCCAGCGAGAACTCTGTATTTATCTACCTCTGGAATGTGTTAATTGAAGGAGGACTGCCCTGCATTCTGTTCATGGTATATTAGGACCTAGTTAGTTTATTTAATTCCTAGCATTGTCACAAAAAGCAAGTTTCCTATCCTCTGTTTCTAATCACTTTTCAAGCTGTTGGTCATTTCTGGCTTCTGGAAAAAGTCTTAATTCCTAAAAATATTCTGTTAACATACTTTTCATTTACAAGGGCTGGTTTTAAGAAGAGATTGACATTTGTCCTTCTAGGCTATATAGGGAGCTCATACCTCTGTGAAGTTCATACCTGAGAAGCTGTACAGTACCTCAGTCTTAAAATAAAGTCTTTAGGAAAGCAGTCTTTTCTAGATCTCTGTTTTAATTTAGATCTCTAACAAATCCAGAGGGGAGAAGAGAGTTAGTAGTTGGAAACAGGCACTTTAAATCCCGGTTGATGTTTGGCTTTTTTTCTTTCTTTCTGTCTTTCTTTCTACATAAATAGTATGAAGTCGAAGAATTGCGAAGGAAGAAGGAGATAACAATTCGGGGAATGGAGGGCTGCCCCAAGCCGGTGTTTGCCTTCCACCAGTGTAGCTTTCCACGTAAGTGTTCTTGCCATTCTTTAAGATTGTGAAGATTGCTCAGAATGGTTCTATTCTCTAAAAGGTTCTCTAAAGCCTCAGTTATCCTTTAAGAAATTTATTCTTTTCTTAAATTCTGAAGAGTATGTGATGGATGCCTTGATGGACCAGAACTTTACAGAACCCACTCCGATTCAGTGCCAAGGCTTTCCACTAGCCCTCAGCGGTCGTGACATGGTGGGCATAGCACAGACCGGCTCTGGGAAGACACTAGCAGTGCGTATTCTTTCCTTTTATTTCTTCAGCTAGCTTTCCTTGTCACCTGGCAGAAACTGCCTGTGGGTTAGTTTTTGGGCTTGTCAGTACTGCCAGTGGGATGATTACGTTTTTAAAGCTTCTTGTATTGCATCATGGGGGACAGTTAAGCTCAACTACAAGCCTGTTGTATTCACATGTGTGTATTTTGTTCATCTTCCTGTTTGGATGCTTAGTCAGTTCTCTTTGGTGTATGCTTATATTGTGGTTTAAAAACCAGGTTGTCTTTAGCACACTTGTTTTATAAACTGCATAGGTTAAAATAAAAAACGGTTGAATTTCAGCATAGACATTAATTTTAACTGCAGTGTTAAAAAGGCTTTTTATCCTTTATGAAAAACATTGGCTGAGGTAACGATTACTCAGTTCTGCTAACTTAGACTTAAAATTTAAGTAAGCCTTCGTGCTCATGCCAAAGTGGATGCAGTTGGTCAACAGCTCTGAAAATCTTCTGTTTTGCTGAATAAATGCAGGTATCTGGTTTTGCAGAATCACAATTTCTATATATGTCACAGAATACTGTTTTCTTCTGTTTTAGTACTTGTTGCCTGCAATTGTTCACATCAACCACCAGCCATATTTGGAGAGAGGGGATGGCCCAATTGTAAGTGCTTGTTGAGTCTCTTCCTTTTAATATGTATGGCATGACACTGTTAATGAGATAGTGCTTTATTTAATTGATGTATCAGAATAGTAATTTTTCCTATCCTATTTGTATCCGAATAGGAATTTTTACTACCACAATGTGAGCATCCCACTCAGTTGAAATTCTATGTGATTGCTAACATAGTATAAAGATAGTTAAATGTATTAGCTAATAAAGAGCAGATGGTTCAACTTTGCTTATGGTTTTATGTTAGGGATATGTATGCAGCTTGACTCTTCCTGAATCATTTCCTTTTGCAGTGTCTGGTTCTGGCACCTACTAGAGAGTTGGCCCAGCAAGTGCAGCAGGTGGCTGATGATTATGGCAAATGTTCAAGACTGAAGAGTACCTGCATATATGGAGGAGCACCCAAAGGTCCCCAGATCAGAGATTTAGAAAGAGGTAATTTTAAAATGGGTGCTTGCAGTTTCTGGAGGAAGTAGTATTGTAAAGTCTCTGTAAAAATAAACTTCTTAAAACCTGTCTGGAAGGGGGTGAGAGTGAGCGAGTGTCTCATTTTCCAGTTGCAATGATAGTTCATGGTGTAGTTCACTTCTTTGCTGTATAGTGACTTGGATATTAGATTTTCTTTCTGTTTGTTCTTTGAACATTGCACTTGTGAAGATCATCAGGGTGATGAAATGGGAAAACTTCACAGAAAGAAAGACGGGTTATTTTAAGAAAATGCAATACCAGCATGTTTAAGGAAGGATTTTTCTTAAGGCAAATTTCAGGTTTTCTGCCTGTGTTCATTCAAATAATAAAACCTTGTTTCTGAATTGATGTAAACTTTTTCTGGATAGCAGGAGCAGTGTGTGGTTTTGCTTTGGGCACAGTTTTTTTTTGTGGTTTTTGGTTTTTTGTTCTTTTTTTAATTGTTCTTAAGCACTAAGCACTATGTACCCTGTAAACAACCACTGTAACGTGGTAGTTACAGTGATCTGTAATTTCAAATACAGGAATGTGCTGATGGCTTTCATCTTCACCAGACAGAAAATGTGATGGAATTACGTGAAAAGATGCAAGAATTATTATCAAGGCAGACGCACATACAGATCTATTTAAGAAATCGGAAAATTTAGGTTACCACTGCAGTTTGCAGGATCCTTACTGCAAACTTCAGCAGTGTGGTAAAGGCATGCATGGTAGAAGTCTGTGTGATATCTCTTTTCAAGAAAGCAAGTACTTTTCAATTCAAAACCAACATCTTCAGTGGAAGAGTCCAAGGTTTCATGAAGAGTCCTTGGGAGGATCAGCTTGCTGGGTTTTTGCACACCTTTCTGGAGTGCTGTAAAGTAGATTTTCTGCTTAAGAAGAAAATCTTTTTCATGCCTCTTCTTCCAGAAACTTAACCTTCTGTGGACATTTCAGTGACAGTAAAATACTCACCTGTAAAATTTGGGAATTTGGGACAGGTGGAAGCCAGATTTTAAGGAATGTGTAAATTGCCCAGGCTGGTGTTAGTTAGGAATATCTGAACTCTCTTCTTATCCCCACAAATGTTGATAGGATGGTTGTCTCCCACTGTTGGTGTATAATTGCTTAGTATTAAAACCCATGCTTTGGCTTTATATATTAAAAAAAAGTGAAAGTAATTTGACCTATATGGCAAGAGGAGCACTTCATGTTTGAAAATGACACCTCTCTAGACTGTAATTCTAGATGAAGGTGGTTCAGGCTTGAGTAGAAGCTTTCTTCATTCCTGATTTTTGGACAGCTCTTCACAGGTGTTCTTAGCAGTAACCTTTTCGTTTCTGTACTGCATTTATTATTCTAATGGCACTGTAACAGTAATTTCAGAATGGAAAAAATATTAAATGGAACTGGGGCTTCGACTGAAGTGACTCAGTCTTGGGTACGAATGAGGGTGGTGTTTTTTTTTTAAAACAATTTTGCTCTGGAAGGTGATTCATTCTGACTAAAAATACCAGTTGACATTCAAATGAAGAGCCTTACTCTTTTTCGTTATTCTTCTGAAGGTGTGGAGATCTGCATTGCTACACCAGGTCGCTTGATTGACTTCCTTGAGGCTGGAAAGACCAACCTTCGTCGCTGTACATACCTGGTGCTGGATGAAGCTGACAGAATGTTGGACATGGGATTTGAACCACAAATTCGTAAAATTGTTGACCAGATAAGGGTGCGTGATCCTTTTAGAACAGCCTCCTTGATTTTCCTATTTGAAATCTAGTACCGTAAACAAATCTGTTTTCCCTTTTCCTTAGCCTGACCGCCAGACTCTGATGTGGAGTGCCACCTGGCCGAAAGAAGTGCGCCAGCTTGCTGAGGACTTCCTGCAGGACTATGTTCAGATCAATGTGGGAAACCTGGAGTTAAGTGCCAACCACAATATCCTGCAGATAGTGGATGTTTGCATGGAAAGCGAGAAAGACCATAAGTAAGTTCCCACCATTTCACTTTCTTTGGTTGTACTTCAAAGTCTGCAATGCTTTGTAAGCCTACTAGGAATTCTAAATAGTGAATTTACTTGTACTACTATTTAACCTTTGAGTATTACAAAGTAAGTCAGTCCTGTAATTAGCTAATTTGTCATGTATATTTTGACCATACCTCTGTACAACCAGCAGAAATTCTGTGTGATACTGACTAATGTGTATGGATGTGTGCTGTGTATGTCCTCACTGTCCCTTGGGAGAGAGATCCTATATTCTGGTACATGTGGTTATACATACTGTCTCTCATGTCTGTTTTAGACTGATACAGCTGATGGAAGAAATCATGGCAGAGAAGGAAAATAAGACTATAATCTTTGTGGAGACAAAGAGGCGATGTGATGATCTCACTCGAAGGATGCGCAGAGATGGGTGATTAGCTTCTCCCTCCACTTTTTTTCTAGGGGGAAACAAAAATTGTAATCAATAGCAGTAAGGTTTAAATGTTCATGATGGTATTCTTGGGAACAACTTATCCATTATTTTCTTGGCTGAATTCAGTCATTGTTTCCCAGAAGATTCCACTCCATCAGAGCATTAGTTCAAGAAAGATTGTAAGTGGTGCAGCTTTTTTAGTCTGTCAGAGTCCTGATATGTTGATGGGGACTGCATCAATATAGCAAACGTGATTTGTCTTTAATGGTTGTTTATATAGGTAGCGGGTTTACAGTACATGTGCTGGGTAGCTGGAGGCCAGAGAACAAAATATTTCAAGCTTCCTATTTCCTTTAATGTATGTACTTTCTATCTATACTAATGTACATCTCTGTTTGGCAGTTGGCCAGCTATGTGTATCCATGGAGACAAGAGTCAGCCAGAAAGAGATTGGGTGCTTAATGGTGAGTCCGTCACTGACAGAAGAATAACTTGGGCTGTTGTACCTAATTTACCTAGACATGTTTTTCTCTGGTCTGTTTGGTTCTGGTTTGTTGTTTCTTGTTTTTTTATCTCTGAACCAAATAGACACATGTAGAAGGACTTCTCTTGCCTTTGTACTCTTAATTTCAGTACTTGTGTCTTTTTTGATTTGTTTTGATGAAACAAAGTGGGAAAATTGCTTAATGCAGCTGGATTTTGAAAAATCGTTGAGGCATTATATCCTGACTTGGGGGTTTCTGGAATTGACCCACCTTATGTAGCTTCTGCAAAAGGAGCATTTAATGTAAATCAAATTCAGATAACTTTATCTTCTTGAAAAATCTTACTTCATAGCATGCTTTGTTTTACAGAGTTTCGTTCTGGAAAGGCTCCTATCCTCATTGCTACCGACGTTGCATCTCGTGGGCTAGGTTTGTACACATAGACCACTCTTGCCTACTGCTGCATATTTTTCTTCTTTGGACTGAAAAATGTTTCTTTAAAAAAAAATTCAAAGCGTGATTTTCCCCCACATGTGAAATACGTTTTTTAACATTAATCTTTTTTTTTTCTTTCATATTCAAAGTCTCTTCCTGCTCCTAATGAACAGGCTTTGGTCTGCAGCAAGGCCTAGGCATGACCAATCGATCGCCAAGAGGGAGAAGAGATGTCCAATTATGCAACCCAACCCTTCCACCTCACTCACTTCTTCCCCAAATCCAGCTTTTGTTGCTGGATGGTAGGGATGGATTGCTCTCAGTTCAGAGCGTGTCAGATAAAGTTCAAGTAGGAAGTTGTGGGAGAGCATTTCGACAGCAAATAGTGAATATTCTCCCCGTATGACACACCACAGATTTGAACATACCAACCCCAGTGTACATGCATGTTTACCCTGCAGATGTATTCACATCTGAGAAAGCACTGCTCCAGATCTTTGCTCTTGACATGTAACCTTCCCTCCTCCTCTGTGTTCCTTCTAGGCAGGACCACTGAGATGATATATGGCCTTTAACATCTTGTTACCCAGATACGTAATTGAATCAAAATCACACAGCTCTGTTCTGGTGGTATGAAAATGATCTGTCTGGATGCATCAGTTGTGCCCCCTTCTATAATAAGCATATTTTTGTTGTGAAACACTGTGTGCTGAGCACAGTCCTTATGCATCTGCCCACCCTAGAAGAGGAGGATGGCTGCTGAAGTGCTCTGAGTTTAATAACAGACATTGAATACTCAGCCCACCCGGAATTTAGTAGACGGTAAACTACTTGGGAGTCAATGTCTCATTGTAGTAAGTTCTAGACAAAATTTCTGCAAATCAGTGGAGATTTAACTCAGAGAATCTAGTTTGTGAAAAGGCTCAGTTACCTGAGCGCTCCTTGTATCCTGAAAGGGTGGCTGTGCTGTGCATCATATGGTCACTTTAATACAGGCAGACCATTGACAGACTTTGCAGCCTTTGTTCACACAACCTGCACCCCTCCTTCCCCTCCCCACTCAAAAAATGTCCAGCACTTCCTCAGGAAGTGATTATATGGACTTCAGTCTCTGCCCTCTAGGGTCATGTCTGGACCTGTGCAGTTAGAACTTGGGCCTGTTGGGAGAAGGGACTGAGGCCTGAAACCAGTTTGTATGAAAGAGAGCTGCTTTCTCTAGCAGCATTTTTTAAACAGGCTTGCTATGTGCTGGTAGCTTCTTTGTGCATCTTGCCTAGACATTTAAAACAGCCTCAACCCCCTCAAAAAAAAAACCAAACAAAAAACCAACCAACAAAAACCAACACTCTCCCCCAAAACGACTCAATTGGATAACACTTCAGAAAACAGTCTCCCCAGTTCCCATCGTCCACTTCGCCCAAGCTAAGGGGGAAAGGTATCAGAGTCTGTTTCTTGTTACTGAACAACATCTCTGCTTGTTTTGGGGCCCTGAGTTTGCTGCTTAAAATAAGTCACTTAACTGGCAAACTTCTGGACGACTTCCTCCAAGATCCTGGAAAGTGAAGGCTTCTACCTAAATAACATAAAACAGGGGCGCGCGCCTTTTGGCTGAGTCACCAGGGCTTTCCCTCTTCCTAATGGAACATTGGTTTCAAAAAAGCTTCTTTCAGGTAAGTTCTGAGTCCCGTAATGACTTCTTTGTGATAATTCCCTGGAGTAAGGTCCTCTCTCTGCACTGATACTTTTTTTTTTCTTTTTTTTTTTTTTCTTTTTTTTTTTTTTTACTTTTTTTTTTATTTAGTCTGTTGAACTAAAAACATTGAATTTGTTTTGTTTTGTTTAACAGAAGCTTTGTTATCAGCTGCAGATAATTCTCAGTGCAGGGGTGGGGGTACACCTACAACAATGGTCTGAACAGCTCTCTAGACTAGCATGTTTGCTAGTTTATATCTGTCCCATTTAATAATTGGAGACTGTGCCGTAGAGTGTTCTGATGGTCTGACAAAGGGAATGTTTCCCAGGTAGCTGTCAAAAACGATTTACAGTCTCAATTCTTGATCCTGCTACATTATCTTCTAAAAGTGCAGGAGGATTGCGAGCGTGCACAAACACTTGGGAGCACGCTAGACTGGAGAAGCTGAGTCTTGTACACGCTCTGGTCTTCAGTGTGCTGCGTGCTCTAACAGGACCACTTTCTAGTCTGGAAAACACCCTTGCATCTTCCTATTCCTGCCTTCCCATTCTTTCTGCTCCTCCCCAGTCAAGTCAGTTCTGTCTGCATTGGTAGCCACAATTCCTTGTGCTTTCTGACGGGAAAGCACATTCTTGTATCCTCTGGTAATTCAAGTCACTTGCTACTGGATGTGCAAAACGGGACTGGCTGAGGACCATGTAGCCTGGAGCTTGTCAGTCTAGCTACACCCCGGCTATGAAGATGCAATCTGTCACACGTACTCCTCTCTATACTTCACTTCCCCTTTTTAAAAAAACTGTTGCATCAAGGACCCTAGCTGGAGACTCGCGCAGCCCCCTGTGAAACCTGCCTTCTCACTCCCTTTTTTTGGTGTGATTCAGGACTTTGGAGTCAGCAAAGACTGAGGAGCCCCCCCTTTGCTGTAATAAGAAACAGACATAATGTCCCCCTCTTGTCACAACAACCCTCAATGTTTTTATTTTTCCTACAACCCCTTTGAAATTGATGCAGTCTGGGCAATAGATGCAGTCTGACCCTTTGGATGTAATTTTTGTATCTTCATTTTTTTTGACAATTGCCCCTAAGAGCCCCAAATAGGGGACAAAAAGTGTTGGAGGACCTGAAACTTTTACCTGAGCCCAGGTTCTCCGGCGCTTCACAACCAAATGGGGCTACAGAGAAGCATCTAAGCCAGTTCACAGAGCGAGCGTGTGTGGGGACTTCTCGCTGCCACGGACCCTTGATGCATGCTCCCCGCGCTCCAGTGGTCCCGTGTCAGAGGGCGGAGTTTTCGAAAGGAGGCCGCCAAAAATAAAAGGCAAAGAGACGGGATCGGCTGCAGCGGTTTCCCACAGGAGGAGGGAGTGTGCATCGGTCTGGTAACAAACAGAGAATGTTTTTCTCTTTAAAACAAAAACAAAAAAAAGAAAGGAAATCACAAAAAATCTGTGTTTTATCTTGGATATTTTCAGAATATTCTTGTTAAAATGCAGATTTAAAATATTTTTTTTTATGAGCTGTTACTGTTAGGGTACTTACTGTATAATGGTGCATTTGGAAATACTGTATAATATAGCAAGTAGGTGCTTTTGGTACTTAAGGTGCTTTCACTGAAGCGTTGCACTAACATTTACTTAGTTTCTGTCCCGTAAGTTTACAAAGTCTTGTCTTGTCTCAGAAAACACAATGCCTATCCCTTAAATTTTAAAACTGTTTTTGCCTACAAAGCCATTTTGGTAATTTTATTTCCTGCTTCCATCTGACACTGGAAGTAGGGAATTGCTTATGGAATTCAGGATTGTCTAAATTACGCAGGTTTGCCAGAACTGGACAGAGCAACACAGAAATGTTAGTGCAATGCATTCTAGTGATATCTACAAAGCTGAGTTAAGATACTTTTAGGTCTGAATAATTTTTAATGAGTTGGCTGAATAAAACTAATGTAATTTGAATGCCTAAAGCTTTAGGCTAGGGGAATTAGTTCATTATATTTTATTAGTACTGTAAAAATAAATATTTTTAAGATTGCCTTTTATTTCATGTTACCGAGTGGAAGGTAAGTGATTTCATTACTGTTATTTTTTGTTAGACTTCTCCCAACAGAGTAAAAGCTTTACCATGGCAGTTCTGCCCTTCCTCCACCCCAGTTTGCTCTGTCTGATGGTGACATTTTCACTTTACAGATTGTGTTAAAAAAGTATGAAATTCAATTAACTTATTCACAAATATCTGTGTCTTTGACACAGGAAGACAGAGAAATGCATTCCGGGGAGGATGACTTTGAGTGCAGGGCAAAGCTGCTTAAAATTGCCATTCTTTTTCAGGACACTGACCTTTGTTCCTAATGATCTTGAATTTCAGTCTTCTACTCTTTTGGGATGAGTCTGTCTTGTATTTATTCTGTGCAATTACTAACTTTGTATTTTTTTTTCTTATTACTGTCACCTGCATTCGTGCTCCCCACCTTTCGTTGGCACGTCTTCTCTTCTCCCCTTTCCTCAACCCCACCCTTTCACTGTGCTTCGCTCCTGGGCACTTGACAAGACGTGGAAGATGTTAAATTTGTGATAAACTACGACTATCCGAACAGCTCCGAAGATTACGTGCACCGTATTGGCCGTACCGCACGTAGTACCAACAAAGGTACTGCCTACACCTTCTTCACACCAGGAAACCTGAAACAAGCCAGGGAGCTTATCAAAGTCTTGGAAGAAGCCAATCAAGCCATCAATCCAAAGCTGATGCAGCTTGTGGACCACAGAGGAGGAGGAGGTGGTGGTGGAGGTAAAGGCACAAGGGAGAAGGGTTGCACAGAGGATGCATTCCCCATTTTGAGGGAGGGAATGTTAAAGAGAGGGTAGGGAAGTTGCAAGTACAGATCTAAGATAACACATTAGTCATAAAGCTGTTCTATACTTGAGGTCCCAACACTTAATGTAGACGTAGTACTTCTGTCCCAAGAGAGAAGCAGTCCCCTATTTTACCTTAGCTGTAGAATATTTTTTTTCCTCAAGGTCCTCAGGGAGCTGATTTTGCTTGCAGTAATTACTTCGTCACAGCTCCTCCTAAGGACCGGCAACAAGGTGTATGTGCAAAATTGAAATCAGTGAAGGGATACACTGAATTTGGAGAGCTGACACACTTTTTCTTCCCATTCCCTGAAGGAATAAGAAGTTTCCTTCCGAATTAGTCCTGAATTTCTTCCATTTCTTTGTCTCCAAGCACATACATAAAGAACCCGTGTTTGAACTTCACATTTACACTTTAAACAAAATGAAGAGGCATATGCACAGCTGTGCAGAGAAGTTACAGTCAGAAGAAAGTGCTCCTTGGGAGCAAAATTGTGGCTGTAGAAGGGGGAGAAAGGGTGGCATAAGTGTACCAGATCACTGTTTAAGACTTGTTCATGGTTCTAAATCTTAATGTATCCATCGCCAGGAGGTCGTTCTCGTTACCGAACGAGCAGTTCAGTAAACAACCCTAACCTGATGTACCAGGAAGAGTGTGACAGGAGGCTCCGGGGAGTGAAAGAGGGCCGGAGAGACTCAGGTGGCTTCAGAGACCGTGAGCGTGGTGAAAGTTATGCCAACGGAGCCAACAAGACCTATGGCAGTGCCTACGGGAGCCCAAATTCTGCTTTTGGGGCAGCACAGAGCCAGTATGGTTACACTCAAGGGAGCTATGGAGCAGCTGCCTATGGCACGAGTGGCTATGGCACTGCAGAGTACAGTGCTAGTGGCTATGGTGCCAGCACTACAGCTGCCACAGCTGGGAGAACCTCACAGAGCACTACCCAACAGCAGTATGCAGGGATGGTGGGGCGCTCGGGCCAGCAGCCACAGCCGCTCATGTCACAACAGTTTCCACAGCCCCCTGCCACTAACGTGATGGGCTATATGGGACAGACTGCCACCTACCAATACCC